TGCTTGGTGCCAACTCCAGGAGCAAAACCGGTTCCCCGGGAAACCCCGCCAGGCAGTGCTGTCATTCAGCAGGGTCGAACATTAGCGCGGCTGTTGAAAATATTGAGATACGCAGTATCGGTATAAATTTATCACAATGAAGTTGTTAAAACTATTGTAGCTCTAAATAACATATTTCGTTTGAAACTGTTGTTATCATATGAGAATACGTACTGTAGTATTTCCTTCAAGATATCTATTTTGTAAAACGATTTACTCAGAGAAAAACCGACTTATGGCTTTCCTAAAGAAATCTTGCAATTGCCTTCAAATTTTGGCAGAGAGTTGATTGGCAGGAATGGCCTCCTTTCTTCTTGGACGACGCTCGCGAGCAGGACGTTTCTGAGATTCAATTCCTGTTAATTTGAACTAATAGATACGCGATAATTTTTAAACAGATTATATTTAGTACTTCTTACCGTAAAAAAATTGTTATAATGTGTGCATTTTGCGGGCAACTGTTTAAGAGAATCGGTCCCCTTCCCTCTTCGACGGTGCCCACAAGAGGGACGTAACAACTATTTATTTACTTTTTGTTAATATTTTTGAAAGATTGGAGATATCAATCAGATTTCTTCGCTAATCGTTTCGAAATAAATAGCGGCAAATGCTGACTGTAGTTTTGTGTGTATTCCAGAACGTCTTCTCCACTCAAGTTTCCCCTACCCTTATTTTATCAAGCGGTCGTTTGAAATCTTACTCCTCTGGCGATACTTTTAAAATTCCTTTACGTAAGCGTTACCTTACTAAATAGTTTTACCCATTAATTACTTTGTACAAATATTTGAACGATTTCAATGTCTATAAAACTGGCCTGTGATTCCGAATTCTCGAAGTCTCCCATATTCGCAGTGTTTCGCGCCTCATGCAAAGTGGTCTTATGATAATCAGTTGCATTCCACCCAGGTGATTTACATGCGTCTTCAAAACCCGAAATCGGCGCCACATCTAGAGCCACATTTTTTAACACCGTGTTGTTTAACATAATCAGGACCTCATGATTCTGGCAAGCACTGCAGATATTTCTTTCAAGCCAACCATCCCTTTTATTTCTAACAATTGTTTTGTGCATTCCATTTGCTAATCGCTGAAAATTTAACAGCTAACACGTAAAATGATTCACTATTTCTAAGTTTTATCATTGTCATTTGAACCAGTAAACGGCTCAATTCTCTTTTTACTCATAATTATCAAAGAGTTTTTGTAAAATTTTTGTTTTTGTTGTTCAAGGTCGCATCTACTTCTAGGTCATTAGCGACCACTATTGCTTGTAACGGTATGGTAGCTGTGAGGAAGAGCGATATGATGATGATAGGGGGTGAAAGGACGAACACAATACAATCATACCCGAGACGTGACTCGAAGCAGCGATCCATCGGTTCGAGATCGCTACGGCATTATCGCCTTAGCTATCTCGACCAGCGGATCGGCATATTTTAAAAATTTATTGCGTCTTTTTCGCTACACTTTTCCCTTAGACCTCCTTGGGCATTGAGCGTATGTGAATATGGAGTAATAATTCGCTAATCTTTTTGTATTTTTGCCTTGTCAAGACCCAGTCAGTCAACGCCTTTTATCCCTTCACCCAGAGGCTCGCGCCGTTAGTAAACCGAGGTTCGCAGACGGCCACCCGTCCAGGAATCCGTGGTGCCTCGAGTTGCCTAACTCTAGTTACTTTTCAGAGCGTAGTTAAGCCTTTCGGCCTACCACACCGGCGGTTATACGCCAGTTACAAATGTCTTAAAAACTTCGAATCGGTGCGTGAAAATTTATCCTACGTACGTGAGAGAGGCAAGGCACTCCATCTTGCCGTTGGCGCGATTGGTCGACTGAACTAGCATGCATAAAGTTGAATCCGATTTGGCATAAAAAACGTGTGTCTGTATTCGCATTTCCCTGATTATACTTTCGAATCAATCAACAGCTCTTCGCCGCGTGGCCTTGTTGTTCGCAAAGATAGTTTCGCACAGAGTTCATATGCATTTTTTAAATTTTCGTTTTAACATGGATATATCTTCTGACTTCCATTCGTAGACATTTTTACGCTGCCTTGTTGTGGTGCTGTGCGGCAATTTGGGTGTTGCTTCTTGCGGTGGCTATGCTGAAGACATAGCCTGGGTTCAGTCGGAGCGACAACTCACGCGCAGTGAAAATTCTTTTGCGGCTTTGGTTGAGGTGATCGCACTGCCAGGATTGCGCCTGCGAGCTTCACTTCGCACTTGGCGATCGCATCGGCGCGGCGTTAGCGTTGTCGGCCGTCCGTAGGTTTGCGCTTGACTTTTGTACCGGTTACGTAACCGACGTCTTTTTCTCTATCACATGGCTTCGTTGTATATTTTCTACACAGACAGAAATCTATGCATTACTTTTAATGTAAAAGTACATGAAAGTAATTATCACGTACGCACATTAAATTTAATGTACACGTACAGTAACCTTAAAGTACGTATACATTGCATTTAATGTACATAAGTACATTACAGTACACGATAATTACTTCAATATACTTTTACATTAGAAGTAATGTATACATTTCTGGCTGTGCTTTTTACCTCTGCTTCAAGGTCAAATTCTTCTACTCCTAACACGACATGGATTTTTGTTGCTAGTATCAATAGAACTCTTATAATGCCGTTGGTGTATCAATAATCATTAACTTGTATATGAAATATTATTGAATTCATTGTACCAATAATTTATTTATATTATTTATTTATTGAATATGGAAAAATGAATAAATAATCTACTTTCATTAATACACAAAACTATTAGCACTTGAGAAATGAAAAATTCACAACTTATTGCAATGTATACTTCGTTGTATTTTGTCCATCTTTTTGGCTAATTTCAAAACTGCAGAATCAAATTTTTACTATCTTTTTGCAGCCTTTTATCTTCAACTGTTGGTTTTATTTTCATAATTTCCCTGAAAGTAATAATTTTAGTGTTAATAAATAATATTTATTCAGCATTACCTTTTTACACAGTTAAACAAATAATAATAAAAATAATTGTCAGAGGCAATGGACTTGCTTGTTCATAGGAACTGAGTACAAAAAGAAAAAAAGATACATACGCAAAAAAAGAACAAAAATCGATTTAGTATGAAACATACTATTAGTAATAATATTACTAGATGGTAATATTATAATTATATAATGTTACCTTTCTTCTTTGATCATTCTAGAAATTACTGAATAATAAAAACTATTTGGCTCGTAAGGATAAAACCCATTCTCTATTTAACAATACCCATTTTCAGAATGTTATCTTTAATGTAATTTTACTGTTATTTGAAACTGAGACCAATTGCCTAATAGTTAAACATTCCAAAGGATGTAATGTAAGTATTTAATGCAAATGTTCTATCAATAGTAATTAGTTATTTAATGAAACATTATTTTTAATTTAGTGTGTAATAGTAATACAACTTTAACTTACCTTAACATGAATCCGTGGGTTGTTTCTAATTTTGCAGAATAGGTATATCCAAAAACGTAATAGCTGGCAATTATCACACCTTCAATAACGTCTTTACAGTTGAACTTTTTGTTTTAGGATTACAG